AAAAAAAAAAAAAAAAAAAAAAAAAAAAAAAAAAGGAACATTGCTAGGTGCTAAGTAGCACATGGATAAGCAACTGATAAATTCATTTGATTTACAGAAACTAGCAAGGCCCTGAAAACTTAGCATTATTTGGAAAAGTCTATAATATTCTCTGGACTTATTTACTAAAGCAGTAAAATCAAACTTAGACATTTGCTTTTTAAAAAGTTTCTAGGGCCGGAGATTTAGTTCAGTGGTGCTGTCACTTGCCTTGAAAGTGCAAGACCCCAAGTTCTATCTCCGGTGCAAAAAGAAAAAAAAAAGTCCTAAAACGTTTCTAAATGTATACCATATATATTATGGAAAATTTTGTAATTAAGAACACTATTGCATCGCTTCTTGGCCTTTTGGCTAAGATGAAGTGTAAGATTACTATTGCTAATATTTCCACCCTTTTTCATTTACTTGATAAAAAATAATTTTAGAGCAGTACCACGGATACAGCAGAGTACCTGCCCTTCCTGCTACATCTATACGGGAGGAGTGGTCAACATCAACAATTCACTAGTCCCTAAAGCACAATGCATTCACTGACATAGCATGGAAAGGAAAGACTAATTTTGACTTGAGGACCAAAATGGTTTTGGGGTGGGTGGTACAATCCTAGAAGAATGAGAAGATAATGGGAGGCAGGGGACTGGGAGAAAGGTCAGGAAGACAAAGAGCTCAGGCAAAGCATACAGAATCACTAGCCAGCATGAGAAACCTAGGAGTAGTAGGGCACGTAAGAGTGAGCAGAGAAGAGCACAGAGCTCAGACAGCTCTGGAAGTGGATCTGTTTAAATGACCAACATCACACATCAAGAGGCAGATTTCCCAGGCCTGTTCCCCTTGGCTTGGCTTTCTTAGTTACAGAGCTATGAGCCCCAGGGGAGGGTCCTTACCTCTCCTTTGTTCCAGTGTCTCCAGTGTGTGTGTGTGTGTGTGTGTGTGTGTGTGTGTGTGTGTGTGTGTGTGGCTTTCTTAGTTACAGAGCTATGAGCCCCAGGGGAGGGTCCTTACCTCTCCTTTGTTCCAGTGTCTCCAGTGTGTGTGTGTGTGTGTGTGTGGCTTTCTTAGTTACAGAGCTATGAGCCCCAGGGGAGGGTCCTTACCTCTCCTTTGTTCCAGTGTCTCCAGTGTGTGTGTGTGTGTGTGTGTGTATGCGCGCGCGTGCGCGCGGGCGCACTGGAGATTGAATTCAGGGCCTTGTGCAGAGCAGGCAAGTGCTTTACTGTGGAGCTAGGCCCCTGGCCATAGCAACTGGATGTTATAGGGTTGTTGTGAGGATAAACCAATCATATAGTTCTCACAAGGTTCCTGGTACACTTAACAAATGTGGCCATTTTCATCATCATTGGTCAATTCTACATTTTCATTTCGTTTGAGTACTGCCAACTCAATGTCATGAAACAAAAGGCTGGGAACTAGAAATTCTCTATCCAGAACAGGAAGATGATCTTGTAGATAACTATTCTTGGCATTTATCCAGGCTCCAAACTGATCATGTTCCCTGGAGAAAAGCCAAGTGGAGATTCCCAGGAAAGCATGGGGTTATTCCTGGTGGGATGGTATTGCAAACAGAAGGATATGAATACAAATACAAAGGAAACTTTTGGATTAGTACTGCCACCTTAAGGAGAGTGGCTGCTTTTGTAGAAATTCAGTTACTATAACAGGGAGTAAAATAAAGAATTCTATAGGCAAATGAAGAAGGAAGGCCTCACTAGATCCTCAGATTTACTTCACTGCGACTACCGGAAGCTCCCAAGCCTCAGGCTATCCCTGCTTCACATGCCCTTACTTGTGCCTAGGTGCACACTGATGCTGGGAAAAGGAGGCGGGGAGGTCTGGCATTGCCATCAACCTGAAGACTACTGGACAAATCAGGTACTTCACTGGGCTGAGGTTTCCTTACCTGGAAAATACCCTCAGAAATGGATAAATGCCTTCAAACTCCCTCCTAGCTCCATGATATTGATTCTGCACAGAAGAAGGAACCATTGTCCTGTCACCAGCCATAAACATAAGAGGGGTAAAAATGTTTAACACCTAGGTAAACCTAAAGTACAGTTAGGCATCACCTTGAAACTAGTTCATTCTAAGAAAACTAAAATTTCAAAGTTAGCCATGGCTGCTGTAAGTAGCATTTGTCTGAGATGGGAAACATTAACATTTTAAAAATAGCTCTACCCGCCTCAGTACACTGTCCAAGGATGCAGAGATTTTGTGACTAGGCAGAGGTAGGCTCTATGGGAAGGGCTGGCACAAGACCAGAAAGAGAAGAAAAAGAAAAAAAAAAAAAAAAAAAAGAAAAGAAAGAAAGAAAGAAAGAAAAAGTCCATAGGTCCAACGGGTAAATACCTATCAGAATTTCATTCTGTTGTTAAAACAAATCTTGGAGTTATTTTTATCCCCAAATAATTAGATATAAATTATCAAATACTATATGAACGTTAGGCAACGATGCACTGAATTTAGCAAGCAAACATGCAAATGGTAGTTTAAGATAACTAATGATCATGTGTAGCTACACATGAGGTTACTCCTGGTGCTGGTGAAGGCGATAGGAACCATATCTAAGCTGCAGCACAGGTACAGGCTGATAGGACAGCAAGACCTCCCTCAATTACAGGTTCCCATCCCCTCTGCATGCCTCTCACTAGTGCTCAGCTGCCAGCACCTCCTAGGTAATGCATATGTCATCACACTGTGGAGGCTCTGACCTGGCAACCCTGGACCACCTTTGATGCTCTGTCACACAGCTGGATGGAAAAGCTGGTTTTGTCTATGCAAGAGCCCTCATATTACAGGAAAGCAGAGGCCCAGAAAGGAACACTAATTTGGTTAAGGTTACCTAGGCAACTTATCCACATCCCAGATAGAAGCCAACAATGTCTGACAGATTCCTATCTTTTTTTTTTTTGTACCGGGGATTGAACTCGGGTCCTTGCGCTTGCAAGGCAGGCCACCAAACCGCTAAGCTAAATCCCCGGCCCCAAGATTCCTATCTTTTAAAACCCAACCAGGGAGACTTCTTAAAGAGCATGGAATTGTGTTTCCTTACTTCCCTGACCTGCAGAAAGGGTCAGCCTACTAACCTGATTTGTTTGCCCTTTCCTTCTCTCCTCCCTTCAAAGTGAAATAAAATGGAAAAGAAATGTTCAAGATAAGCAAACCACCCAGAATAGAAGCAAAGGAAACAGAGGTCCCTACTGTTCTAGACAACTTTACTCTTATTTCCTATCCATTTTTTCCACAAATAAAACTGGGAGGATTGAATCTTATGGCCAAGAATGAAAGTGAGTCATAATTCTAAAATTATTTTTTTCCTTTAGAAGCATCTGATAAGTATGAAGCTCTGAGGAACCTATGGTCAAAGTGGGAAAAGTTCATTTGTTCTCACAATCACTTCCTCCCTTTCCTGCTCAGGTAATGACAACAGCCCCTGTAGCTGATAACTGAGACAGTGATTCTTTACCGTACAGGTACAGGTTTCAACAACCATCCCTGCCCTCTCCACCCTCAACTGCCTCCTGTCACCCTGGCAGAGCGCCAATTTGGACTTGCACATAATGGCCTACAAGGCCCAGCACAGCATTTAATTATCCAGGTGTCTAACTCTTGGCAGTGGATGGCAGAGGAGCGCAAGCACCAGCTCCACGGTACTGGAATGCTGGTGCTGCCATGAGTCTCCCCCTACCCTGGGGGGTGCTGCTCACTTGGGGGAGGGGCATGCTGACCCTCTAGTCAGCTTGAGAGATTCTTTGGGTCAGGGAAGTTACAGCTACAGATGGAGACATCCTTGGAGAGCCGAGTCTAAGAATCTAAAAGCAAGGATTTATATTGCAAATGCCAATATCCACTGGCAACTTCAGCAAGAGGCCTTTGGAATTTCGGTTAGGAAAAGCTCTTCAGCAGATGTCAGTTAGGAGGGCAACAGTATTTCTTTTTCAAAATCACACACACACATGATATATAAGACAGAATATCTAAATTATTAAAAACAATTTCTTAACAATCACAAGTGTGCACTCAGTTGCTTTCTCCTATCTTGACTTTTGTCTATCAAGTTTCTGATTAAGAGAAGAGCTTCATTCAATGCAGGCAATGTCCATAGGCCAGAGGCAAAGCAGAGAGTGGTTGTGCTCTAATGAATACAAGTTTGTAGTATTTTTGGCAACAAGATAATGCCTCATTCCTACCGAGATGCCTTAAAATAAATAAGTGAATATCTAAGTCAGCATGGAGGGATGGGTAACTGAGTATTTTCTGCTGGAGATCTGGAAAATAAAAAATTAATTCTCTTTATTTCTATGTCTCAACATTTGAGGCCTTTTCTTATTATCTAAATTAAATATTTTTAGTAGGGCTGGGGAATTTAGCTCAGTGGTTCTGCTGTCTGCCTCACAAGCGCAAGGTCCCAAATTCAATCCTGGATAACAAAGTATGTGTGAGTGTGTGTGTGTGTGGTATGTCACACATATACAGTGAGAGAAAAATAGCCCATAAGAGAAAATGAATGAAACTATGCCAAGGAACACAGGTGGGCTGTGGACCTGTCTCACCTGGTTTCCTTAGTAGAATAATTATCTGAGGACAACAGAATCATATTTTTTTCATTAGAACTGGGGATTGAACCCCAGGGCCTCTGTACTGTGCTACATCCCCATTTCTATTTTTTTATTTTTTATTTTGAGATACTGTCTTGCTAAGTAACTAAGTTACCCAGAGGTGGCTCTAACTTATGATGCTCCTGTTTCTACCTCCCAGAGTGTATTACTGCAGCTGTGCACAACCCTACCCACACCTAGAGTCACACATTTCTGGTCTAAGTCAGGGTACGGCTGATCTGAATTTCATACATACCACCTACTGTGGTAGTCACCGGCCACGTGTGACTCATGTTTTTACTTAAAATGAAACAGGACGATAAAGTCATCTATTCCATCATATGAACCACATTTCAGATGCTCAAGTGTCACCTGGGGTTCCAGTAATACCACTAGTACGCCATGTAAGGGAGGAAACTGCTATAATGATCCACCCTCAAACACCAGAATCCTCTCCATTAATGAATATGTAGCGAAGGAATGGATTCTCTGGCAGATGACAGGGCCCTATAGAACCAACTGATAATCACACTCTCAATCAGATTCCTTTATCTTTAAAGACATGGGTGGGGTGGAGGAGCAAAGTAACCACCGTATTCCTGCCTGCCAGTGGTCTCCTTCATTACTAAAGACACAACTATTTTCACCTTCCTAACTTTATTTGAAATTTGATGATTCTGACAAATTCTGAACCTATAGGCCATATATAACCTGCCTCGACAATGGTTGTACACGATCATGAAATGACCATTCATTATTCACTCTATAAAACATTCAAGGCAGAGAGGTATGGGGAAAAAATGAGAACCAAGACCTGTCATGTAAAGATACAAGATCCCAATGATGAATGTAACTGTACTGTATACCTAAAATATACCAATAAGCTCAATGAGAAAAGAAAAACATTCAAGTGCTAACATCCACTTCACATTCTCACATTTGTGCATTCTCACACAAAATGAATGATACTGTGAAATTTTCCCACAAGTGTCCTACATGTACAATCAAATATACACACAAAGGCAACCCAAATTCTGGGCCCAAAGGCCCCATCCATTCAGAACATGCTACTTGGGTTCTACTATCACATAAATGATAAAGAATATACCTTCATCCATTCCTTTTATTTGTGGTCCATCTCCCTGAATGTAGTTGGCTAAAAAAAAACAAAAACTAGAGTATAGTAATCTGAAGTATAGGAATTATAGTATACCAATGAAGGCTACTTTTTCGGAAGATCCACTATTTCACTGACTTGGTTCATGTTTGAGTAATTAGCCCTCTCCAGGTGGTCTCTGTTCCATCTCTTTAATCTGCTGGTTTCTATTCTAACACTGAGCCTCAGCACCACTTTCTTTTTTGAAAGCTCACACTTGCCTCCAACCAAAATCAAAGGTGAACTACTCCCTCATTTTTAATCCTCTAGACACCATGCCAGTCTTTCAGAGCCAGTCATTGCTAAATCACTCCAACAAAAGCTTCTTAGAGCAAGTTGATGAAAGTTTTTACTTATTTTTGTTAGAGAGGATTAATAAATAGCCAGCTGGGCGTGGTGGTGCACACCTGTAATCTCAGCACTCGGGAGGCTGAGGCAGGAGGATCGCTGTGAGTTTTGAGACTAGCCTGAGCTACATAGTGAGTTGCAGGTCAGTCTCAACTACATAGTGAGACCCTGTCTCAAAAAAACAACACAAAAAAACAAACAAATAAATAAGCCCTTTGCCCCCTGCCAAGATGTGGATTTTAGAGAAAGATGTTGCTAGGGATAGTCACAAGAAAACGGGCTAAACAACCAACATTGTCCAACAGCATGAGATGATGACAGCTTTAACCTCAAGATCATAAACAGAAGATCTACTGGTATGCAAAGACACGAAGAGTCTTTCCCCAGAAATACTGAGATATTCATTCACATGTTCTCAATGGGACCTGAAAAAAATAATCTAATTTCTGACAGCTTATAGAATAGGTCCATGCAGAAGTCCCATGCAGGCACATACACTTTTCTTCTCAGGGCACCTTTAAGCGTCAGGTTTTTGTATAGAAACAAACAGAATATTTTAATGCCATCACTTTTACTTCCCATTCCTTGAAAGGGAATGCTCTTGAAACCTTTCTTCCTCAACAGCTCCCCTGCGTAGGAATAAATTGCTTGAAATCTCATTCCTTCACAATACATCTTCAAAGCTTGTTTGGGAAGATCTAGTCTTGGTGTGTAACATATGGGAACAGACGCAGTTTACAGGGGGAGGGCTGCACTAGGTGGTATAAGTCATTTTAGTTTATGGACTATTTATGTTTTGCACACACACAAAGCATTTAAAAACACAATGCCCTTGTAAGGCAGAAATATTTGACTCTTCTCTCTCAGCTACTACTTCTGCTCTGAGCATTTGTGCTGCCGAGGGGAAGAAGGCCAAGAGGAGAGGTAGAGCAATCTAGAAAACTGAAGCTCCACCAAGGGCTCTGATCTTGTACCCCTATCCTATTTACTGCCTCATTGCACATGACACCCAAATCGGCAGTTATAGTTAGCATCTCTGGCTGTTTTGCTCATTTAAGCAGACATGAATGGGAGCAGATCAATGAACATGAACAGTGTTTTTTTATCTCTATCCCGAGAAAGTCACAGACTCAACTTTGGGAAACACCAGCATGGTGCCCATGAGAAGCACCGTGTCCCCTTCCAGACAAAAAGAAACAGACGTGGGACTAGACCCAGAGGATGAATGTGGGAGCAAAGACATCATGGGCAAGAAGATGGGCTTGACAAAGGACAGGGTCATTCTGTAAGGTGTGATATGCAAAGGCAGAGGAGCTATAAGACTGAAGGTGGGGAGCTTGGATGCTGGCAAGACAAAGGCAGCCTAAATGATTCAGACATCTCTATCTATCCCCGGAAAGGACTGTTCTTAAGCAAGGAACCAGGGCCTGAGCACATGATCCATGAGGCTGGGGGAACACCACTCTGCAAATACACCAGCTGGAAACAGTAAGAAACCTCTCTCTGTGGCCTGTAACACAAAGAATATCACTGTTCTTACCGGAAGGTGACTAAGGGGCACGTCCACCTGGCCCAGGAAGTCGTCTCGTGTCTGTAAAGAAGAGAGCAAAGAGTTAACGTTGTCATCTGTTCTTTGCATTGTCAGTATTTCTTAAAAAAATATTTCATTACACAAAGAGCAAGAGATCCAGGGCCTGACACTAGATGCAGTGAGGAGGATCAAAGGCAGAGGACCTAGATGAAACAAAGAGAGCCATCCCCAGGGAACTTGGGAGCTGGAAAACTTGTACATAGGACTGTTAGCTGACTGAGACTCCGGTTAATGCCTACTGCAAAACTGAGTTGGGGGCATGAGGTTAGTCAGGCAGGACTCAGAAGGCTGCTGAGATTTTGGGGGGTAGCAGCTGGGCCCAGTTTAAATAGACAGGGAGGGCGGAGAGAAGGAAGGCAAAAGGGACAAAAAAAGGAATTAAGATATGTCAGGTACATGTACCAACCTCCCTCAAGGAATGTAAGCACTATGTACTACACACATGTACTAATAAACTAAAATTAAAAATAACAATGAAAAAAAGAAGGCAGCACAAAAATACGAGGAACATTTTAAACAGGTATTTATTCAACACAAACCAAGAGCTTCCTGACAGCTGAGAGTCTAGGAAAAAGTATGCAGCTTAGCGACTAATAAATCTTACAAACTGCAGATGATAAAAACAAGAGCCTTTTCAATCCAGTATGTACACTGCTTGACAATGCACTTTTGAGTATTAGGTCCCGTAAGTTTTGGACATGCCCTATTCTTCCCTCTTTCTATCCGCCACTCAGTGTGCTCCTGGCTGACTTCAACAGGATCTTAGTGGAACTCATTAGATGTTCCCCGGCCCCCATGAGATACTGGGAATCATTTGGGGAGTAATAACTCAGGTTCAGGAGACCGACAGACATGCTGACACCATGTCCTGTTGTTAGTTACAGTGCTTACCACAAGGCCTTCGGTGTTCAGATGATCTGAGGTGTTAGTGGACTAATACCACCCTCACAATGAAACAAGCAGCTGCCCCCACCCACTCACAATGCACAAACACTTGAAGTTCTTCACACATAATCAAACTCACCCCACAGCTAACTGCAGACAAGCCAAAAGGTCCAGGTCTCATCACGCCAAATCCTTGGCTCTTATTTTCACTCTGCTGGTTCACTGAGGAATATGCTAATTTACAGAAACTACTTTCCAAAACTTTGACAAAACTTGCTCTCTTCCATTTAGAGAAGCAGTAGGTTAAAACAAACAAGATTTACTGAAACGATTTCCTCTAGCCTTTGGTATTTCCTTTTAGATGGCTTTAAACATTTGATAACTAAAAAACCATCTATTTCTTCTAAATGAAGCATGAACAATAAAGAAAAGTTAAAGCTAGCACTGGCTGGGTATGCATACTCCTTGGTAAGGTTTTCTTACATTAAATGTAAGTTCTTACATTTTATTAGCTTTATCTGCCACAACCTAACAGGGATGCCTCATGAAGGGTGTAAGGAAAGTGTCACCAAGTTCTGAGTGTCCTACTAGAAGCAGCAGTCCTCAGAAGGCCTAGAAAATGATGACAGGTTTGCTGCTCAGTCCACAGACAGTTCTCACTGCTCAGTGACTCACAAGGATGACAGTCACACAAGGAATTAGGGAGCCCGATCATTCATCCTCTATTTGGCTGATTTCATTGCCATTCTATTTTTAAAATTTTAAAATTTTAAGACACTTTTAGTATACTTTTGAAGTATCTGATTCCTCCCAAGGAAATGGTACATGTACACGACATCTTAATTCTTTTTATTTCACCTTTCTCTGTCTGTTAGTCCCCTACCCATATGCAAAAATGTGTTTTCTATTATTATCTACCTTTAATAAATGTCAGTTAACTGTATCATCCAAAAAAGTGGAAAATGATTTAAAATTAGCCACAAACAGTGTCTACCTAACTCAAGCAGATTGGTATTACCATGTGTCCCCTCTCCCCATGTTCACCCTTATCCACCTGCTACTGCAAACACATGAAGGAGGATACAGGATGCAATCTTCTGGAGATGCTATTATTCAAAGCTCTATTTCACAACCTGTCATCTACAAAGCTACCCATGAATCAAAATGCATTTTGGCAAAAATTCACAAAACATCTGTGTGCCCATGTGTTTTTGTTAGGGAGATAAGAGTTCTGAACTGACAAAATAGTCAAGTTCTGCCCAGATACAATGGGCAGGTGTCCCAAAAAGCTAGTTAGAGCAGTACATGCTTCCACGGCGCTCATCCTAGTCAGGCTCTATGCCGAAGCTGCAGCAAATCCCCATAGCAACCACAGGAGGCAGGCACAATTACTGTGCCCACTTTACTTAGAGGAAACCTAAGTGGTGTGTCACCTACTGAGGGTACTCAATGGGCACACACTTCAGGTGTCTCTGTAAGTGGCAGGAAAACAGGGAACACATGAGTTCCAGGCTCCTCCTTGGATGCTGGCTCTCAATGGTGGAGATGAGCAGATTCTAATGACAGCACAGGCTCTAATGACTTCAGGGCCTTCTGTTTGCTGGGTCTGTCATCTTTCACACTACTTCTGCCTGCATCTGCTCCTTTCCTCAAAGGAAACAGTTTACTGAATTCCCAGAGGCACTGTGAAGCTGTGAACCTACCTGAACCTATCTTATCAATTTCCTTATCACACTGAAAAGACAACTTCTGAAACAGCCAAAGAAAAAAAGAACTTCACCATTAAAGGAAACAAAAGGCTCTTATTGGTTTGTATCAAGGGCAACTGAAATAAAATTAGTTTTTAAATAAATTAGGGATAAAGTCCAGAACAGCACAGGGTCTGAGTAAAAGGGCTTAAACCAATATTCCATCAGTCAGTGGAAGATATTTTCAGCTGAATGAGAGATCTAGGCTTCAAAATGTCCACTGCAGCCCAAACATAGAAAGTACAGGAAATAAGATACTTAGGTCAAGGCCACTACACTGCAGAAGAGATCCAGTAGGGGCTGAGAAGCTCCTGGAGACCCTTGTATCACAGGAGATACAGGAGGAGTATGGAAGGGGACACCTCAGACACTTGTGTGAAGGATCCTGCTTGGGGCCCTGCAGACAGTATCTGAGGTCATCACAGCTTTATTAGGACACCGCCACACTATTGACATTTATAACAAAGTTACACAGACACATTAATCAAATCAATTTTCCTTCATCCACATTAGGAAATTATTTCCATCAAGCCTCGTGTTAGAAACCAAATTACTTTCTATGCATACAGTGAGAACTGGCATTCTTTGTGTGTGTGAACATGTTTTAAAGTAGAAAAGGGCTGTGCATTCCAACTTCTTACTTGTTATACTGTTCTTTAGGGTGAAAGCATGCAGGTTAGTAATCAAGGTATATAATCCCTTCTGACGAGCCATCACGTATTTATTCAATGTAACGACAATGTGCAATGGAGCCCCTGAAATGTCAAATAAGGTGAAACAAAAATCCAGATTCCATTACTAAAAAAGTGAAATACATACACAAGTCAAATAGTATCTGTTTAGAAAATGCTCCCTAAATACTGATTAATTACCATCAGGGCCACCCCTCCCTCCTTTTAACCTAATGATACCCCCTTAAATGAGAAAGAAAGGGACAATGGTATACCATATTCATGTACAGCTATGCTACCACTACTGTATATGAGTGTCACCCACCAGAGGCCTGAGGACTATTACTGTGCTACAGCTCCTGGACACTTTCCCCAGAATCTGCAGTGGTCTATGTGCCAGCACCAAAGTGGACACCAAAATAGGTCCTCACAGAATGAACTAGATTAAATTTTCAGAAGAACACATCCATTCAGAGGACCACACAGACTCTTGATCTTTGGGATGGAATTGCAATTAAGGTTGGGACCCTAATGTCACTACACACCCACAACCCCACTGCCCTGATCATTTCCATATACAGACAATGGTAACAGCTTGGCTGTGCACATTGTGAGTTTCCCATCCAAGCTCAGGACCAGGGCAGGGGACTGGGAGTGGAGGAAAGCACCAGAAGGCCAGGAGGGTGCCCAAGGATCACACTGGGGCCATAAACCGCAACAGGTGTCTTAGTCAATATCCTTGTTGCTAGGACAAAACTGAACAACTACAAGTTAAAGGAGGAGAGGTTTACTTTGGCTCATGTTCTTAGAAGTTTAAGCCCACAAGTGGCTGGCTCCGAAGAACAGAACAGCATGGAAGAGGAAAAGCTGCTCTTCTCACGGCAGCCAGGAAGCACAGCGCTAAGGGAGAGGGGAAGGCAGACATACCCATTTTGGGTCACACTCACAGTGAAAGGCCTCTTCCAACCAGATGCCACCTCCTCACAGAAAGTCAGCTATTATGCCCCCTAATCAAATCCCCTTCTCAACACCTGAGGCTTTGGGGCCATTTTAGATTCAGTGCATTAGAAAAAGGCAATGGATAGGAAAAGGTATCAAAAGGGACTGGTGATTCTCAGGGAAAACGTCTCTGTGTAATACTGTGGCTATGTATTGAGGCAGTATTCTTTAAGCTGTGAATTTCAACCCTACAATGATTTATAAGAAACATTTTTGTTTTTCCTGGTGCTGGGGATTGAACCCAAGGCCAGGAAAGCATTCTACTTTTGAGCTACACCCCCAATCTTCCCTCCCTTTTAAAATGAAGTATAACTGAATGGAAAATACCAGTGCCTCATATGAAATACAAATAATTTTGTTTTGAGGAACTAATTTTAGTCATATAAATATGTAACTGTGTGTACTGAACTGGGGCATAAGACTAACGGCTTTTTATGTGCCACCACCAAAAGAATCTGAGAGCCACTTGACTACAGAAAATGAAGACACTGTTACCCCAGTTCTCTGGCAGGCTGAGGCAGGAGTACTGAGCCCAACCCGAGCAATGTAGAGAGAACCTACCTCAAAACATAAACTTAAAGTAAGAGAGGTGGGTATATAGCTAAGTGCTAGGGCCCTGGGTTCAATCCTCAGTACCACAAATATCCATCTACCACATCCCTCCCCCGCCCCCCCAAAACAAAACACACAGAACTAC